TCTCTGGCACGCTGACTCCAAGGACCTCGTCCTCCCCAGGGACTGGAGCAGCTGCCTGCTTCCCTCACCAGTGCATTTCTGCAGCTTCTCTTCAGGAGATGTCTGGTCCCACCACGAAGCTCAGAGAGTGGTTAAGGGGCAGAACAGTGCTGGGGAGCAGAGGTTTGGAGGGTACTTCCACATTCAAGGCCAGGTTGGACGGGGCTTGGAGCAACCTGGTCTAATGGAATGTGTTCCTGTCCATGGCAGGGGTGGAAAAAGGTGGGCTTTAAGGTTCCTTCCAACCCAAACCAATCTGGGATTCAATGATTCTGAGTTCTGATATTGAAATGCTGTGTGAGGTTGGGACTGGTCTCTGTCCATGTCCCCCCTGGCTGTGACAATCTCTTTTGGCTGTTTCAAGGTGGTTTGGAGAAGGAGAGAGGCTCTATTAGGACTGTTACCCACAGAGGTAGCACAGCTTGTTGGGCCAGACCTCCAGCTTTTGGACTTACTGGGCACTTTCAGCCTCATCTGAAAGGGGGCAGATCTCAGAGGTGTTGCCTTTTCAGAGTTTGGGTGAGCTGGGAAGGAGGAGGACTCACCCCAGGCTCTCATGGAAGGAAAGGCCAGTGACAGAAGGGGTTCACCTCCCAGCAGCACCCAGAGGTGGGGTGGCACATGACTCTGCCTTCACACCACTGGGACAATGCACAGGGACTGTTCGTGCTACCTCTGCCATGCCTGGAACCAGATGATGCACAGAGAATCACAGAATATCCTGAGCTGGAAGGGACCCACAAGGATCATCCAGTCCAACTCCTGGTCCTGCACAGACACCCCAACAATTCCACTCTGTCTCTTTGAGCTCTGGTAGCCTTGGGGCTGTGCCCACTGCCCTGGGGAGCCTGGTTAGTGCCAACCACCCTCTGGGGGAAGAACCTTTTTCTAGTACCCAGCTTAATCCTCCCCTGCCACAGCTCCACCTGTGTCAGAGAGGATAATCAGACACTGGGATGAGCTGCCCAGGGAAGTGGTGGATTCTCTGTCCCTGGAGGTGTTTAAGGTGAGACTGGATGTGGCATCAATGCCATGGGCTGGGAACCACAGCGGGGTTGGATCAAGGGTTGGACTTGATGATCTCAGAGGTGCTTTCCAACCTGACTGATTCTATGATTCTATGAGTCTAATAGCTTTAGATCCTTCTGATATTGTGGCACCCAGAACTGCACAGAGGCAGGTGAACATTAAGCTGTCCAGCTTTTAATCTTATTGAATGGCTCTACCTGGTGTACTGAACCCTCCAGGGATCCAACCTTCTCTCAGACTATTTCCATTTTATTTGCTGTGGTTTTGTCTTTGGTTCAGAGAACACACTAGCAGCAGCAGCTACTGAATCTCTCCATGAAGTCTTTGAGGCTTGGGGAAGATGGAGTTCCCAAGAACCTGAGAGACAGATAGCAGTGAACACTGCTGAAAAGTTCACTTACTGAACTTTTCCCAGTCAGAGGAATGCTCCAAACCTTGCTCCATGGACACAAGCAGACTGTCTCTGAATGCATTCCATTAGAAACCATGGCTACAGTTCAGAAATATTTGTTTTGGGGCTCTGATCCTTCCTCCCACCACTCTCATTTATCTTAGCGATGCTAATGCCACACTTCAGACTTTGCTTTTTAATCCCAAACAAATATTAGTGTTCTGAGAGCTGGGAGTCCCCATGTGTCCATCTCCACAGTGGCATCCAAGGCTGCTTGGAGGCCTTGACTGCCTTGGCTAAGAATCCTGGGATTCAATCTGGTGGATGCTCTCTGATGTCAGCGAGTCAAAAAGGCTGCAGAGCAGCTCCTGGGCCTGGGGAGAAAAGAAGGAAAGGGTTGGGGCAGAGCTGTGGGTTGTGCATGGCAAAGAAACCTCTTTTCAGATGCAGGTTTCTCGTGCAGAGGCTATTTTCCAGGCTGGATTAATCCCAGTACAGAGATGGCTGGGAAACCTGCTAGTTGTGGCCACTGTTAGGCCATTCTCAGGAGTCATGTTTTCAAAGAACAACAAATAGCAACAATATGCAGAGTGCTAAGTGGGAAATTACTCCCTCCCCCAGCTGCTCTGCCTCTCTTTCCCAAACCTTGCTCTGGAGCAGCTCTGGCATGGCTGCTTCCAAGTTGGAGAGGCCAGGATATTGCCAAGGGCCCTGGGACAATCCTGCAATCCTGGCTGTGCTAATGAGCACCATGTCCCATAAAGCACAAGAGATGCTGTGCTGACTCCCACCCTACACAGCCCTTGGGGCCCTCCTGCCAGCTCTGCCTCTCCTCACAGCTTTTTAATCTCTGTTACAGACTCCAGCCCCTCTGCTGCTGAGGGGCAGAGCGGCCAAGAGTGGCTGGGATGTGTTTTCTGCCCATCCCTCTGCTCCAGTCCCAGGTTTCAGGTGTCTGCAAGGAGAGAGATGCTGGAGCAGACTGGGGCAGAGCTGAGGGATTAGTGCTGCCTGCCAGTGGAGGCTCAGCTGCATCCATGGGCTCTAACTGAGGGTGACTGTGCAGACACTGTGTCACCCCCTGCACGTCAGTGACGTCCTGCACTGCCACCGAGGGACGGCCACCTCGGCCTCACGGGCTCATCCCAGCCACACTCACAGCTGCAGGAGGGGAAACATCCAGCCCCAGGACAGCCCAGTCCTGAGGCTGAGCACAGCACACCCTGACTACTCTCTTATTGCTGGAGACATTCCAGTTTGGGCAGGGACATCTGGAGGTCCATGGAAGTTCAACAGCCCCTAATGGTGGCCATGGCTCCCTGGTGTGACCATGGTCACACTTCCAGATGGCAACTGGTCTGTGTGTGCCCAGGATAAGCCTGCACGGCATTTTCAGGGTCACTGTGTAAAAATAAGGAACTTCCAAAGTGTGGATTTGTCTGCTCCTAAGGCAGATGTTTCACACAGGCAGGTGAAGGTGCTCCAGCAATGCAAGGCTTACTTACCTCAAGGGCTGCAGAAGCAGGCAGACAACCAGCCCAGGCCCAGATGTCAGCACTGACACAGTCCACATTTGGAAAGCTGATTTCCCATCCTATTGCCTAATCCCAAATCTCACGGGGAGAAAGGATGATGTTCCTTTTCACTTCCATGGCTCAACTCCAGCAGTAAAGACTGCAGCTCTGCTCAGACCACGAGGATTTGAAATCCATGTTCGTTTAACCCTCCTGAACTTTGCCTGGTATCAGGATGTTGCTCATTAGCTTTGCCCTGGAAAGCCTGGCTGGTATTTCATAAACTCATTAGCAAGAGATCAGAGGCTCAAACATCATTCCTTGGGCCACCCTTTGAGGTTCAGGTTCCCTGCTGTGCTTGCTCCTCAGATCTCACTCTGATTCCTGAACCTACCCCGGATTTGGGAGCCAAAGACCCACTGGAAAACAAACCTGCTGTTTGTACCCCCAACAAGATGTGCTGACCCACCACTGTCCCAGGACTACAGTCCTGATCTAAACTCTGAGCTGCTGAGAGCAGCCCCTGCTTCCACCAGCCCCAGAGGGATTAGATTCCACATCCCAGGCTGTCAGAAGCAGGGAGAAGGGCTGAGCATATTTGCTTTTTCCTCCTCTCAGCACAGAAGTGCTCTAAGCCTTTTCCTGATAGGCTGATTCCCCGGTGCCGGGAAGCAGAAAGGATTTTATGTCAGGCAGGGATATGTAATGTCCTTTCAAAGCAAATCAGAAGCCAGCCTGGACTTGCTGCCCTGTCACATTCCTTGGCAACAGCCTGGCACCCTGGCAGCAGGCAGCACTGAGCTGTGACAGCCCTGCAGAGCTGTGCAGGCAGAGCTCCCAGGCACTGCAGCGGGAGCAATCCCAGCCACGCTGGGAGAATCCCACTGTGCCACGGGGAAAGAGGCTGAAGGCAGCAGCTGAAGGACTTTGGGGAAGTTGGGGTAGTTTTGACTGTGTTAAAAGAAGGAACACAGACTTCAAAGAGGGCTCTGTGTCTTTTAAGGCTCAGTCCTTAAAGCACTAGTCCTGAAGGCAGCAGCTCTCATGTGTTATATGAGGTTACAAGCACAACCTCGCTCTCCTGCTGGGTTTTTTTGGAGAAGCAAAAGGGATCCAGAGGAGAGGCTTGGGCATTTGCTGTAATTTCTCACTCCCTCCAATTCTTTTATCACAGAATCACAAAATGGCTTGAATTGGAAGGGACATTAAAGATCATCTCATCCCACACCCCTGCCATGTCGTCCCACACTCCCTTCCACCAGGAGTTTATATCTCCTAATCCCAATTCTTCAGGCACTGCCTCCTCTATCCAAACCTCTCCTTTGTTTTGTTCTAAACTTTGATGATTACAGCCAGAATTTTGAATGTATTTATGCAGTTTATTCCCATTAGCTGCCCACATGTCTGGAGTTCAGTGTTTCCTTTCTTGGGATGAACTACTGAGAAAATATTCAGCCAACCCATCCCTGGAATGGCTTAATTTCTCTTCTTCCATTTGGATTTGGGCTTCTGAAACATAACTTCCAGAACATAGGACATGTGCCAGCTTGGCCACAAACCTGAGTGAACATCTCCTGTCACTAATTTTTGACAAATATCACAGTTATTTGAAACCCTTCCCTGTGAGGGTTGTGAGGCCCTGGCACAGGTTCCCCAGGGAAGCTGTGGCTGCCCCATCTCTGGAAGTGTCCAAGGCCAGGCTGGACAGGGCTTGGAGCAACCTGGGCTAGTGGAAGTGTCCCTGCCCATGGCAGGGTGATGGAATGGGATGGGCTTTAAGGTCCCTTCCAAGTCAAACCATTCTGGGATTCTGTGATATTTTTTTAAGTGTTGATTTTTGAGAAAAAATAACTGAATTGCTATGGAAAATATAGAATCTTTATCAATATCTCCAAGTCTTTTGATTGAAAATTGTGTCACCACTGTAATATGGGAGACAGTTTGACAGGATTTTGGTCCTGTCTTCCTCAGGTTCTGGGCTCAGTGTAAGCCAAGGCTTGGGGCTGCCACAAGACACCACCTCTGTCTCACAAAGCTTATAATTTTTCTAAAATTCAACCAATATTGACAAATTCCATTCATCACAGGGGCACAAAGGACACATATCTGTACCATAAACTTCTCTACTTGCCTGATTCTCATTCTGGGGATAAAGGAGATGCTCTGCAGTGTTCAGGATGGACTGCTTCTGCCAGCAGGCACTGGGGGGAAAGAGGAAGGGAAGGCAGTGTTAGTTTGCCCTGTCAGCTGTCAGGGAGTGCAGATGACCCAGCTCTGAGGAGGACTGTGCTCTGTGCCAGCAATTCCAGCCATGGGCATCTGCTACTGAACTTCTTTACACAGCTAAATCCTGGGTTTTACAAAGCCTTGTATAAATGGCTTTGCACTATTAAAATATAAACCTTCAAACTAACAGTTGCATAATGGGGGCTCTGGGGCAGACATGTAAGTGTAGATAGTTAGCTCTGTGCAAGACCCCTGTGCAAGGGTCTTGTTCTCCACAAAGATAATCTGGGTGTTGTACACGAAACCCAGGACTTTCTGAGCTGCAGGGACTGCCTCACTAGTCCTTGTTTTGCTCTGTTCCTCCTCAAGCCACACACGAGCTGATCCTAAAACGTATCCAAGAGAAATCAAAAGGCATGGTACAAATTTCAAAAGTGCCTTTTAAACTGACTCTCTGCACACTTGGAGCCTCAGGCTTGAAAATTCTCCAGAGGCTTTGGACGCCACTCCCTGCTCCCTGCCCCCATATCCAGGTATTGTGCTTGGCAACAGTTTTCCTTTCAGTGGTTTTCAACTGCTCTAAGATTTTACACCCCATGTGTTCATTTTTTTTTTTATTTCTACACCTCCTACCCCTCCAAAGCTCCCCGGGATGAGCTTCCTATAGGGATAACATCACTCCCTGCTAACAGCAATTAACACTGGGAAGAATGTTCCGTCAGGAAGAATAACATCCAGCTAAGTTCCTTAACACTTGCCTTCTGTTCTGATTGCATTACATTGTTTAAAGGCAGAAAAGCAGAAAGCCTGGCCTAAACTCTGATTTTATTCTGCTGCAGTGTTTTGGGTGTTTTTTACCCAAAACCTGCCTCCTGAGTTCAGTACAATGTTAACCAGGTGAGCTTCTAAGTCCGTGCACAACGTATATAGGTCCTAACAATCTTACAGGCATCTGAAAGTACTTTTTAAATGCTTAAAACCATAGAGGAGTAATCACTATGGCACCAGCATCACCTATTAAGGCAGCTAAATCTGGTTTGTCATGCATAAAAAGCAGAGCATGCCTTCCTTCCAGGAGCTGCTTTGAATCCACTGCTGCACATTCTTCCCTCTGCCACCCTGCAGCCAGGAAATGTGGCTGTGAAAACAAGTTATGGCAGGGAAAATTCAAATGCTTTAAAGTGAGATATCCAGGCAGCCGGATGCTGACAGAACTAGAAAGGTAAGTCTCACATAATTTTTCCTTGTCTGTGGGGTAGGATTGTGTCACTTCCTCCTCTGGGTTCTCCCCCTGGTTCCCACTGCTCCCAGGCTGAGCTGCAGCTTCCCCTCACCTCTTCCAAACACTGACTTCACTCTGCCCTACGAGTTAGCCTTGGCACGTGCCCAGATTCTCCCAGATTCCTGCTCTGGCTCCACTCTTGGCAGGCAACCAAACTCACAAGCTGCTTTTGTGTCCACACCTGCACTGGTTTTGTCCCTCCCTCTGTTCTTCCTGCCCTTTGGTGCAGAAATAATTCCTTCATGGATGTCCAGAAAGCAGCCAGAGTGGGCCCTGCTGCTTTCTGCAGCTCCTAATCACACTTAGGAGGGTCTGGGTCTGTCTTCAAACCCCCCAGGGACTGAATGTCTCTCCAGCACTACCAGAGCTGGCTTAGGGAAGCTTTAATAGTCAGAACTAGGAGCAGTTACACTGGCAAAGACCACTTTGCTCCTCTCAACACCTGATTCCTCCTTCTTATCAAGACCCATCTCCGACATCACATCCCAGGCTTTCATGCAGATGGCAACATTCCTCCCCTGGCACAAAGAAATGTGCCTCAGCTGTGAGTCAAGTCCCAGGGCTGTAAAATAATCCCTCCACCGTGGTGCTTCAGCAGTGCAGCTCAAATTCAGGCCAAAACCTGGGCAGGTCGTGGCAGAGAGAGGGAAATAAATACCCAGTGACTTACACGGTACAGAAAGGGCTGATGGAGTTGTCAGTGTAATTAACCTCAGGGGTTATTTAAATTGAAGATGTCTTGGCATGAAGTGTCCTTAGTGAAGTCAGGCTGGGTCTTCAAACATATTGGCAAAGCAGATTTTAAGCAAGGTCTTGTGAGACAATAAGGCCCTGAGCTCCTGTTGGCTGAAGCTGATCTACCTGAAGATGTGAGCCTCCCTCCTCCCATCCTGGGACACACTCTCCTGCCCCTCCCTTCCACAGGCACCAATGATCATGAAGGCAAATATGGGTTTTCTGTATGAAATGGCTGCCTGATCACTGGTTCTGGCACCAGGGTGAGAGGCAGAGTGGATGCTGCCACTTGAAGTGCCTCTTGACAGCCATAACTCATGCACATGTATTGTGCAGTTCAGCAAGGGGCTCTGTACAGAGCAGGATGAGAGGTGAAGGCACAGTGAGACTGGAACCTATTCCTGCCCACTTCCTTCTCAGCCCCTGGGCTCCCTGGTGAAGACAGGAGAAGCCATAGGAGGTTTCTCTGGAGGTGCTGCCTTGAGACTGAAGCTGAAAACATGTCAGGCCTACAGGAGAGGGAAGTGCTGGGCTACAGCTGGTCCTGCTAAGCAGCACCCATGACTCTGGGAAAAAAAGAGAGGTAGGAGGCCTTGTACTGGCAACCACTCTCCCAGAATCACCCCAGTGATCTCTGGGATTCCCAACAGCTCAATTTTCCCCTGTAAACCAGGAAAAAAAGTGGAAGAAAACACAGCAGAAAGGTCTTGGGGAAGTTACTCTTTGCCTCCCTTTAGTGCTGTGCCTTGCAGGGTGGAAGGTTTGGGATGTGGCTCCCAAGGATGTGATTTTAAATGAATGGGAGCAAAGTCTATATTTTGCAATTACCTTAAACACATTTTTGAAAACTTACTGCTGAACTTTGTTCCAACCATTCTTCCTAGGTGTGGCCCTGAAACATTTCATCAAAGTATGACAAGTCTGAGGTGCCTACAAACGTGGATATTCAGCTTTGATCCCCTTGATGCTTGTAAACTCCATTATCCTTGGATACTTATTCCTGTTCCACTGACAGCATCATCTGGAAGTCCTCCAGATGGTCCAGCCAAAGTCAGGGCAGTGTTATCAGTGTGGCTCCTGGCCTGCTCCTCACTGAATTTGTCAGAAAACACCCTCCTTGCTTCCCCTGCCAGAGGAACCATGTGCACAAGCTACACATCCCATTGCCAAACACCAGCCCCTGTGCAGGCAAACCTTCCCTCTGGGGAACAGAGGGTTAATTGCCCTGCTAATCACTCCGTTTCACTAATCAGTCCCTGCAGAGGGGTTCTGTTTGTTTTTCCAGCCTTGTACATTCTCTATCCAACGTTTCTGGTGATTTATTTAAGAGGCTAATTTTGATTTTGCTCTCTGGCATTTCAGTATTTTTTTCATAGCAAACATAAAATCTGCTAAGATATTTCTCCAAGGAATTTTATTGATTCAGCAGGTCTATTCCCAACGCGAGTCCTTATTTCAGAATCCCCTGTGTTCATGGAACCACACTGCCAAACCTCACAGACACTCCAGGTCCTTAAACAACAACACAGCTTAGTATTTAAGGTCCTGAGTAGAGGACACATGACTTGGAAAGTGTGGGATACTCTGAGGTATTGTGACCCTCACAACAAGAAAGACATTGAAGGGCTGGAGCGTGTCCAGAGAAGGGAATGGAGCTGGGGAAGGGGGTGGAGCACCAGGAACAGCTGAGGGACCTTCTCACTCTCTCCAGCTCCCTGACAGGAGGGTGGAGCCAGGTGGGGGTCAGGCTCTGTTCCCAAGGAACAAGGGAAAGGATGAGAGGAAACTGCCCCAAGTTATGTCAGGGAAAGTTGGAAAGTTTAGGTTGGATACTGGGAAAGTTCCTTCATGGAAGGGGTGGTCAGGCACTGCAACAGGCTGCCCAGGGTGGAGTCACCATCACTGGAAGTGTTCAAAACACACATGAATGTGGCACTTGGGGACCTGGCTTAGTGTAGTACATGGTGGTGGTGCTGGGCTGATGTCTGGATTTGATGATCTCAATGGTCTTTTCCAACCTTAGTGATTCCATGATTTGATGATTAACAAGGTAACTGTGAAGAACAGGTTGCCTTTGAGTGGCACCTGCCCTCATCAGAGCTGGAATTACAGGAAGGAGGTGCCCCTCCTCAGAGCACAAGCTCTGTAGGGGTGTGGGGCAGGGCCATGTCCTCTCTTACCTGTCCAGCAGGGAGCAGAGGCAGGTGACAGCATTGTCCCGCTGTGCTGCCAGCACCAGGCACAAACCATCCTTCAGGAGGGAACACTGCAAGAGAGGCAAGAACAGAGCTTTGGTGCTGCTCTTCACTCAAATGAGTCTAATTCTGGCTGATGAACCACTGACAGCACCAATAACCACCTGTGTGTTGTGGGAGGGGCTGGAGCCACAAGGCAACAGACTCTTCCAAGTTGAGAGGATCGTGTCTGAGCTGTTATCCGGCTCCTACAGCTCACTGTTATTCCTGCTCCCCTCTCTCAGAGTGAAAATAAGCAGGGGGTGTTATTCAGTCATTAGCTCTGCTGGGAGCAGGAATAGGGAGATAAGGTAAATGTTGAGATGTTGTAGCAGAAGCATTCATTACTTGAAGGAACCCACCTCCCTTCCAGCACGGGAAAGCAAAGGCTGTAACATTCACCTTTAGCTCAGCAGTGCCAGATCCTTCTGGAAGCACGCCAGCTCTGCCCAGAGTCATTAATCTCTGACAGGAGGAAGGAGGTATGGCTCTGCCCCACACACACTGATTCACTTTGTCATTCCTAGAGAGCTGCACATTCCACGTGCAGGGGGATGGATCCTCGGGGGACCCTCGGGAAAAGGAAGCAGTTCTTACAGTAATTGGCTGCTAGATGTAATTGCTGTTCCATATAGATGTGCTTCAAAGGGATGTCAGTTTAAAAAATCACAACCTGAAAAGGTCTTAGCTGCTGTTATTACAGATAACACCTACAACTGAAAGGCTGGAAGCACAAATGTGTTTTGCAGAGGGGCTGCTGTGGTCTGACAGCCCTTGGGTGGTTGTTGATTTGCTATTGCCCCTGGTTTACCCTGTGCTGCTGACAGCACTTCCTTGTACATTCCACCTTGATGCTTTGCCCTGGCAAGGTTCCTGACATGGTGGGCTTTTCCTACACCAAAACAGTCTGGGCCCAATATTTGGCTGCTGTGAGGCAAGGCCTGCTCAGCCCAGCAGCACAGCCCGTGCTCCAGCCTCGTGAGCACCTGCACAAGCCCCACACTGGGCTGGAGCCTGAGCACCCACTAACTGAGAATCCCAGAGTGGCCTGGGGTGGAAGGCACCTTAAAGCTCATCCCATTCCACCCTCCTGCCATGGGCAGGGACACCCTCCACTAGCCCAGGTTGCTCCAAGCCCTATCCAGCCCTAGGGATGGGGCAGCCACAGCTTCTCTGGGCAACCTGTGCCAGGTCCTCACCATCCTCACAGCCAAGAATTCCTTCCAAATATCTCATCTAATCCTGGTAGTGGGAAGCCATTCCCCCTTTTCCTGTCCCCCCAAGCCCTTGTAAATTGTCTCTTTCCATTTTCCCTGAAGGCTCCCTTCAGGTCCTGGAAGGCCACAATTAAGTCACCACAAAGCCTTCTCTTCTCCAGACTGAACAATCCCAATTCTCCAGCCTTTCCTCATAGCAGGGCTGCTCCATCTCTGTGATCACCTTGGTGCCTCCTCTGGACTTGCTCCAACTGGTCCATGTTCTTCCTGTGCTGGAGACCCCAGAGCTGGAGGCAGCACTGCAGGTGGGAAATCCCTGCCTAGGACTCCAGGGCACAGTCCAAAACATGAAAGAATTGTTCAGCATTGTAGTAGAGGATTAATGAGGTATGATTAGAGAAAGGGAAAGAGAAATTGTATTTATATGGAGAAACAAGACAGGAGACAGCAGCAGAACACATATAATAGTGCACCGATGGGTGAATGGAATTAAATGTTCAATAAATAAATAACAGATGGGCAATTCCCACTAAGGATACACTCACATGTAATGATGTTGAGGTTGGGGTCAGTGAGCCAGCAGGGATATAGGAACACCAGGGAGGGACACTGCCCAAGTTACTCACCAGAGGTGTCAGAGCTCAGAGGCAGTGCTGGAACACTGCTACCAAAGCAAGTTTGCTCAGAGCAAACAGCCAGCTTAGCACAGCAGGGCATTAAAAAGCTCTTCTTTGGGGAAGGAAGCAAAGCCCAGCTCCAGCTGTTCCATACCTTTGCTGCCACACTGCCCTTGGCCCTGCTGAGTGTCCTGGAGATGCAGAGAGCCTGTGGCATGTCCAGCACGGTGAGACGAGCTCCAGTCACCACAAAACCTCTGCCAAGAAGCTCATCCAGCAGGTCCACGTAAGGTGGGGGCTCTGAACCCCGCAGGATTATCCCAGGCAACACGAGGCAAGTGCTTTGGCAGCGGGTGTCCAGCAATGGCTGACCTGATGGGAGAAGAGGAAAACACTTATTGGGTATCTCCCCCCCTCTAAGTGATTCTTCCCTGCCACGGACATGGAAGTGGGATGTTGGAGGCACTCAGGAGTTGTGATGTGGTTTGGGATGCTCATCCCAAGCTGCTGGACTGCTGCTGTCTTTGTGTCCCTATCTGGAGATCACAAGACAGCAGTACTGACCCCATTTCAGGAGTCAGACAAGGACAACTGCTGCTTTGCTACAGGAGACACGATTCCATTTCATTTTTTTCCACGCAAAGAAATCTGTTAATCCAGCTGCTTTTATAATCCCTAATGTAATTCTGCTCAACATACGTAAGACTTAATGTATTTCATATTTTCCTCATGATAAATCTGTCTGTCCATTAGGCAGCAGCTCTGTGATAATTATTTGCTGGAAGGAGGTTTCCTTGTGTGCAAGAGCTTCCTCTAGTGTTCAAGATGAGCCCAGAACGTGAGTGATGTGTCTGCCTTGCTGGAGGCACTTACTATATCCTGCCTGACAGTTCAGGGATCACGTGGACTTGCTTTTCCAGGACAGTAACTCTTTGAAATACATTTTCTGAGACACAAAAACATCAAGGCTGTACACTGGCTTCCTTTTTACTCTGCTTAGACATCTTCAAAGCAGAGATCCTCATGTAGCAAGAAATTAAGGGCACATATTTTGAGATTTGATTCCAACACTGGGTTGTGCAAAGCCTGCAGAATACCTCTGCTCTCTCCACAAGCTATTTTGTTTATTTTATTTTATTTTATGCAATCTCTTATAAAAATCAAGAAGTGCTTCAGTCACAGCAGACCTGTGCTATAGGCCCAGTTCTTTCCCATTATGCAGTAAGATAATGGGAGAAATACCAAGTAACAAATACCTTGGGAAAAAGCCTCCTTCAGAGACCCCCTACCCAAAGTGACAGCTCTGCTGTCCTGAGGGCAGAGGCCTTGACTTACCACCCTTTCTCTGCACTTCCACATGTGCTGCCTCATGCACCTCCTGGTATGGGACTAGTGCCCCAAAGTCCTGTGTCAGGAAGGGTTTAAGGAGAGATGTGATGGTCTGTAATTCTGTAGCATTTTTGTCATACTCCTCTCTCAAGTCCACAACAATCCTGTGGTTCCACTGCTGCTGTTGATGGCCACAGTGACCAGGTGCAGCACAGAACCATTTTCTGAGCTGCCCACATCAGTCACACCAGAACTCAAGCTACAGGAATGAGAATGAGCCAGTTCCAAACGATTCTATTCCCCAGTGAACACCACAGGGATGCTTTACTTGATCACTGCTTGTTTGTAAAGGCTTGGGATCAATCCACAACATCCCAACATGGCAGCATCCCCCTGTGTTAGTGACACCTCGTGACCTGAAGGATGCTGTATCCCAGCTGTGTTTACACTTGTCCATCAAGGCAAATCAACAGAAAAGGCTCAGAGAAGCTGCTGCATCCAAGGGAACTGACAGCCTTGCTGAGGCTTCAGCTCCACATCAAAGTCAGCCTGGCAATAGCTGGGAGTCATTTTGAGCTGGCAGCTGCTCAGCAGCAGTAGGAACTGAATGAGCTCTCAGTCCAGTTTCTGAGAGTTTGATGGCTGTGCTGCCAGCAGCACTCCCTGCATAAATTGTTATCCATCCACTCACAGAACAGACTGCCTCACCACCACCCAGCCCACCCATGTCCTGGTGTCCTTCCTCTCCCAGGGAGGCTTTGAATGGACACACAAACCACTGTGGCCAAAGTGGTGTGAGACACCTTGTAAAAGTTCAGGAGGGGAACGTGTGCTGTTGCATCCACAGCTGTGTTGGCAGTGCTTGTTCTGCTGCTGTTAAGGTCAACTCTATATTTAACCCCTAAAGCACTGGCAGTGCAAAGGCCCAGCAGGTAAAGAGTTAAATGGCTGCACTCCCCTGGAGCTGTTCTTTGCAGCTCAGAGCTGTCTCTCCCTTCTGAAAGGACATCAATACCAAATCTTGCTGCCACCAGATGGTTTGTCTTGCTGTCCAATTAATCAATAGCAGTCCCAATCTGTACCAGGAGTTAGATTTCCTTACCAGGACTGCATAGCTGCTCAGAGCCCAGAACACTGGGTTTTCTTCCTGGCTCACAGTTTAGGATCTTGTGCTTCTTGCTGACTTCCAGACTGAATATGGGGTCACGTTTCAGGTTATAAATCTGCAGGAGGGAAGGGAGGGAGAGAGAAGCAAGTCACATGAACACTGCTCCCTAATCAGGAGGGCTAACACTTCTGAAGGATTGATTCAGGCAAGCTGTGAAGCTTTTGTTGCTGTTGTGTACTTCTGTAATTGCCAGCCCAGAAAACACCTGCTTGTCTGCAGATACAAGAACATTTTGCATGCATTTTTCTTCTTAATTGTGGCTTAATTCAATACAGGATCTTGTCATCCTTTTGAAAGTCTTTCTAAGGTCTCTGCTCCCAGCTTTTCCAGGCCAGACTCTCAAAATCTGTGAGGCTGGCAGCTTTATCCAGTGGATAAGTAAAGCTGGGGTGTAGCAGCTCCTTCCTGTCTCTGAATGAACTGGCACATCCAAGTGCCCAGCAGAGCCACAATGCCCTGGGCTGAGCTGCACAGGGACAGCAGCCACATTAGTGAAGCCTGTTACAGATGTGGCCAGCAGCATCCAGCTCCAGAGCTAATCTCCTTGGACTAACTCAGCTGGGTCACCTCTGAGCCACAGCAAGGCTCAAACATTTCCATCACTCCACTGAGCATAACCAAATCATTATTCCATCAGCAGCCATCCCACCTCAGCTCCGCTCCTGAACGACACAAAGCTGGTAAAAAATCAGCCCCTGGGTCATCTGTGCTTAGCAGTCAGGGATAATGCTGCTATCCCTGCTGAAAGTAAATATCCCCCTTCCAAATCAATGTTGACCATGTGGGAGCTTTGCTCCTGAAACCCTGAGCCCTCCTGAATTTCCAGCCCAGGGTTCTGAACAAACAGATCTGAACCAGCTCTCCTCCACCAGCTCTCTGGGTCAATACAGAGGGAGCACAGTGTGGTAGGAACATCCACAGGAGAAGGAAAACTCAGCAGCTGGTAAAACACATCACAGGCAGCATTATCTAAAACATAATAGGAAAGAAGTCATGGGACAGCAAGGCCAAAGCCACTGCTCTGACACAGCAGGATAAACCCCAGGAAAGGGCAGATCCTACCTCTTCTTCCTCCAGTGTCTGACAATTGGCACAGCACAGCCCTTCTGGGAAAAACAGCTTCATATCCCGGACAGCCATTTGATAGGATTTGGAGCCTGAGAGATAAATAAAATGAGAAGATTCTCTCAGGCTTTGAATTAAACATTTTCTCTAGACTCACACTCATCTTTTGGAGAGATTGATGATGTGCAACTTACTGAAGTAATTGCTTTAAAGGCCAGCTGTTCTGTACAGTAATAGCAAACGTTTAAAACCATTATATTTAGAACAGTTTCATTGCCTCCTTGGTATTTTGATTCTGTCCTATTATCACTCAGCAGCTTCTTCATGTAAACAAGACTCCTATTTCCTAAGAGTATAGTCAAGGGAATCATGTTAAGGAGCCTGTGAAGCCCTTCAATACCAGCTCTAAATCCCATTGTTGTTCCTTTGCTTCTGGATCACATCAGGCTGATCTTACTGAAGGAAAAGAGCTAGTTAGTAAAATAAATGTACTTAGTAACAATAATGCAGGTCCTAAATAGGCTGGGGGGGTCTAACAGAAATCAGAATTAGCACGAGGCATTGCTAATGGCAGTGTATTTTCTGTTCACCCGGGGTCAAAAAAAGTGAATTGAGACTAGAACAGGTACAGAGAAATGACATGAGGATGGTGGAAGGAATGGAGAATCATCTGAAGAGTTAAAGCTAAAAGACCTTGGCTTGTTTGACCCAACATGACCCAAAGCTGAGAAGCAATTTGATTTCTGATAAACACTCCAGGGTAGAAAAGGTCAGAGGTATAAAAAGAACTACTTAAAATGAAGTCCAGATAATGGCAGAAGAACAAATGAGCACAAACTGTATGTGACTATATTTAAGTTTGAAAATGTAAGAAGATTTTTAGCTATCAGAGCAGAGAAGCTGCAGACAACCAGACAAGTGGGGTGGATGCTTATGAAAGGGAATGTGTGATGGGATTGTCTGTGAGGGAATGAACTGATCTCAGTGACTTGAGAGGTCTCTCCAGGCTTAGCAGCTGAATATTTCCCTATAAAGCATCAGCGTTATAAAGCACTACTCAGGATGTGTTGAGATTCGTGGGTGGAAAATATTAGAGAGGGAAAAGCTATTTCTGTATAACTGGAGTCCACATAGTTTGTCAATGTGCTGGCACAGATCCATACTCCTGGGATACAAATACACAAATATCCTCTGAAATATTCCCACCTTTGAGGCTACCCAGGAAAGAATCCCATCTGAGAGCACTGTTTGAACTCCATAATTCCAGCTTGGTATGGCCAGAGCCCTTAACACAGCACTTTACAATCCTAAGGTTGTATAAGTCTCCTGTGTTTGAGCTGTGCTGGATCCTTTATGTACCTTCCATGTTTAAATCACTGATGCCATTAGAGGACACAAATGCTCCCAAAGTGAGCAACCGTAAAACTCTTGCTTTGCTCAAGGTATAACCCAGTGTAAGGTGCATACACCTAAGAGCTCTTTGGATGCAAGGAAAAGCACTGTACAATGACTTTCCAGGCTCCAGAAGAGATGAAAGTAAGGCAGGTTTAACTCTGCAGCTGAGCCTCAGACTTTTAAAGCTGTATTACTGCACTACCTGGTTCAATGGTCTCCCTGGAACCCAGTCTTCATATTAATTGAATTTCCCCAGTCACTTTGGGAGGAAACAGTGAGAGTTTGCTCTGCTTCAGGCATTAACTAAAGTTCTTCCTAGGCTGGAGCAAAACTGAGAAAGCTTAGTATTCCCTCCTAGGAAAGGAAGATGGTCTTACAGTCCCCCACATTACTCATGGAAAGCTCTTCCTGCTTAACTTGTAGGTAAATGTTTCACCTGTATCGAAGGACAAGCTCTTGGAGGTACAAGGGTTTAGGAACACTCCTTTCCTTATGGACAGACACCTCCTTGGCAGAGCAGCTGGGTCAGACTCATCAGTTAGCTACAGCTACATCCATTTTCCTGGAATGTGTGCCAGGATGGCTTTGTACACAATGCACATAGTCTGGTCTGAGAGCAGGTGGTGGCCAGTTCAGCTCAGCCCAGACTTCAAAGGTGACTTCAAGTCCCAGCCTAGGGATCTGAAGGGAATCCCAAAGCAGAACATCCAAGGGCTTCTCAAAAACAGTGAGCTACCTGTGACTCCCAACCTAATAGGGTGAGACTCAGCCTCTCTAGTCAATATAAAGTCATCTTTCACTGAGTTATGCTGGGGATGCTCCAACTGTAGCAGGTGTCTGAAGTTTGGGGTATATAGCACCCATTCTGAGTCATGACTGAGGAGTTCTCAGTCTCAAGGCAACTTGGATACACAATCCATTAACCTTAAGGGCAAAAGAAGCAGGGGCCAATAATGTAAAAGTATTGGCTAAAGAGCCCTGACCACTCTTTTTGTGTAGGTACATCCTGCTCTTCAGTCCCTCCCACAGATGAGATCCTATGGGATCATGGTGAGAGAGCTCTCTTGGCTCAGTCTTGGTCCTCAAGATTCCAATCTGATAAAAGAAGGTTCTGGATCAAGGGTTTGGTTCTCTTCCCCAAGCTGTACATGGTAGTACTTCATTACCTACCAGTTTTCAACAGACCACCTGATATGGATGAAAAGAGGGAGTGATTTCACAGCACAGAATACAACAGAAAGAGCCAAATAATCTAAGGAAAGTTCTGGGACTTGAGGGCATACAGTGCCTACCAGCTCACCTGGGTTTAAAGAAATTATTGCTTTATTATTTTTATATTTGTTTAACTACATAGAGCCCAATCAGGACAAAACACTACTCACAGGCAGTGATTTAACCCTTACAATTTTTGGAATAACATCCTTCTCTCCTTGTGGCAATACCCTTTGTTCTCTACAGGCCACTCTCTCCAGGGGTGATTCCCATTTTCTCATCCTTCACACACACACAGAGTGCAGCATCCCAGTCCTTCCCTGCTGGCAGATAAGCTGTGATGGTTCAGCACTCTGAGGGTGCTGACTGCGTGCTCTGCTCAGGTGCCAGCTGGAAAGAGCCTCTCCCAATGGAAAACAGCTGAGTTTACCTGCTTTCCTCAGTCAGAGAAATTCTTAATCACCTCTGTATTGGTCCTCAATGTTTTGAGATGTTACAGAAACTCAGTATCTTAGAGTCTTTAATTCCTCTGTGAAATCTGTGGGAGTGGGCCAGTGGGTTATGGAGACATCAGGAGGACACACACAAGCAGAGAAGACAGATGGGTTCTTGGGGGTAATTACAAAATAACCAAGCCAAAAGTACAAAGTGACCAAGCAGGGAAGAGATCAAAGGAAATCTATTATGATGGAACACAGATCTAGGGCTGTTCTGGGAAGAAACCTTTTTGAAATATATCCTCTAGGAGAATATTTTATATCTGGAGACACACTCAGCTCAGCCATCAAGAATACAGTGAAAGCTTTCTAGGGAATAATGGTCTTCACTGCCTGCCAAGGCTGGATCTGTAGTGACAATGCAGGAGGGAACAGTACATTTTTTTATTTGCCATTTGCATATCTGAGTCTTTGGCCTTTTCTTTTACAAAAACCTACCATAAAATCCATTGTGGACTGTGCTGGTGCCATACTGAGCCCTCCAGAGGCAGGGATCTACTGCTTGGGCTAGTTCAGGATCCTCTGGCCCCAGGAGATCCACCAGCTTCTTCACAGCATTTGGCCTCTGCAGACACAGCACGAGAGCAGTGCCTGAGGTGAGGTAGGTACAGTGAGCTTCTAAAGCAGCAGGATCCTGAAAAGAAAGAACAGAGATGGGACAGTTATAAGGAACAGTGTTGGAAAGCACTGGGTATATCTCAGCTTTCCTTTGGCTAGGAAAAGTTGGAAGTAAGCAGATCTTGCTTACTCCTTGCTTTGTGTCCTCTTTGAGATACATGCTAGTGGTCTCTGAAGGCAGAGTTTCAAAATATACACCACAGACACCAAGCAGGACTTGTGAGATCCACCAGGTTACAGAAGGTCTAATTCCTTTGGCGTGAAGGAACTCACATGGGTCAGGTGGGAGCACGGACACGGGCAGTATCACCAGGGTCCCAACTGCCCTGGGATAACAAGCCACATTTCATTGTTCAGCCAATATAAAATGATGGATTACAAATAGCAGACCCTGTCTCTGAAGGCAGAGTTTCAAAATATACACCACAGACACCAAGCAGGACTTGTGAGATCCACCAGGTTACGGAAGGTCTAATTCCTTTGGCGTGAAGGAACTCACATGGGTCAGGTGGGAGCACGGACAGGGGCAGTATCACCAGGGTCCCAACTGCCCTGGGATAACAAGCCACATTTCATTGTTCAGCCAATATAAAATGATGGATTACAAATAGCAGACCCTTTCTTTTTGTATTCATGAAAGGCAAGACACCCCCACCCACACACACACCCACACATACTCTGCTGCCAGGGCCGAGCTTCTCCTGGAAGATGGTAGAATTCCAGACACTAGGACCAGGACCACAGAGATTAAAAGCAGGAGGGTCAGAAGAGGGCCTGCAAGAAAACCATTTGCCCTCCTGGCTTTGCCACTGATGCTGTGATTTTACAGCACTTTTTCTTGCACCCAAAATTTCTTTGCTTCATAGCAAATTTCTCTACTTTTGCTTCTTTTCCAAGCATGGTCAGTTCAGCCTGTGACCACTCCTGAGCAGAGCTGTTCCTCTTGTAGCTGTGCTGGTCACAAGACCCTGGGAATCTTATTTTGCCTAAGGATAAGTGGAAATGCCAACTAGCAACCACTGTACTGGTGAGAGGAATCTGCTTTGAGTGCTGGAGACAGACACAGTGATGGAAAGGCAGCGAGTGCCTGGGGCACTTGCCATGGGCAACAGAGAGCTCATGGCCTTGCTGACTGCTTTAATCAAGGAAAACCTTGGAAAACCAGGCTTGTTGCAGATGTCTGGGCTGAACACAAGATCAGGGTGCCCAAAGCAGCTGCAGCCTCCCTCCTCCTGCCCCTTCATCTGAGTAAAGTGGCAGGAGCTGCTTCCCTGCACCCCACGGTGTGACAGCCAGCACTGGATGTTCTCCACACGTTACAAACAAGGGCATTTCCAGCTCCCTGCCTGAACCAACTCATGGTTATTTACTTTTTTTTCTAATTTTGGAGGAAATAAAAACAGGAGGGGAATTTGATTCAGCTGAATCACGTCATTCACAGAGGTTTTAATTCCTCTATTTTTTAATCTTCTAAAAGCAGCAGAGGATAGCAATTCTCTAGATAAAACATTTCTAAAAGCAAATCCTACCATTTCATTTAAAAATATGGAGATAAAACACTTCAAGGCCTTTTTTGCTCCTCCATCACGTGAAACCATTCACTGACTTTGACCCAAATCTTCTCACACTCGCCTTCCTCCTAAACTGCATCTCTGAGAATTAGGTTATAAGTTGAAAACCATGAGCTCAAGCCTCATATTCTCCCCTCTATTTGCAAAGGCAAAATGATCCATGAGAAAGCCCTCCTGTTCCTAAAGTGCTGAGTTATGTAAGGGACTGTCTGTGGTGTTTGTCAGTCCTTCTACCCCATGGGCAAAGGGTCATATCTCCAGTGACAAGAGCTCTGTTTGGGTGAGGATAAAGAATTTCAGCATGGCATAGTGTGCTGCAAAATTGTGACATTCATTCAGCTCTGCATAATACAAAATAATCCCTTCATGCTTGAAAATTTTGTTAGTTAAAAAGAAATGTGCATAATTCACTTTTCTATGGGTTTTCTCTTTGGGGGATGAAAAACAGTGATGATTTTCATGAAAACTTTCAAAAAGACTGATGTGACATATCAACATTCATCCATGTCAGAAACAACTGCAAAGAAAACATTCAGTTTCTGTTAGACCAGAATAAACGAAATTATGTTGCTCCAGAGCTTCTTAACAGTGATTTTAGATCTACATAACAAAACTCTTCTCTCTGTTTCCTGTCTTTCAGTTCTTCCCCAGCAAATCCAGGCACTTGGAGTTAAAGATGATGTTGTTTCTAATTGGTGAGTCAAGGCAATCCTTTCCTTCTGATACAGCTCCTCACATCCACTTCAGATGCCACCAGGCCAGTGCTGCCTTTATTCCCATCCTTTTTTCTCCCATCCTCCTTTATTTCCATCCTGCTTTCTCCAAGCTGTGTCCTTGTGGATCCTCGAGCAGCTGTGGAGAGGTTGCACATGTGCAGCTGCCTTGAATTCAGTGAGCAATTTTGTTGAGAGGAAGTTCCAGCTGTGCACTGGCTCGGGAGGATAACGGGATTAACAAGCAGCAAAATTATCCTTCTGCCTTTACTGCTGGAATCACAAGATAGGGTTGGAGAGAATCATTGAGTATTGAGTCCAGTGACCTGCTACTGCAGGCAATCAGATCAGGTAATCCCCCAAAGCAGGATCAGGTCCCACTGTAAAAATCAGGCTAAAACTGCCAATCTCCACGGGGCTGGATCTGCTGGGTAAGCACTGAAAGGAGATCCAGCCTCCAAGGGCAGAATTCCTCCTGGGAGCAGGCGCTTCTCACTGTCTGAACACCATCAGGTCGTGCCAAAAAACTGGGAAGACAATGTCAGCTCTATTTACCTGACCTTTGTTTTCTATAAGTGTTCTTAAACTTCAGATAAAACACACTGTTGTGGCTCCTGTGACTCGATAACCTCGTGGAAGAACGGAGCAATCCATTATTTATCACACGCCAAAGGCCACGCGCTGCTCCGGAGCTCAGTGTTAGTATTTAAATTGAAAAAGCAATCACGTAGCTGAGATCAGGCTGCTGAGGATATTTGTCAAGTGCATGTAAATAATACATTAGAAAGAAAAAGGAGATGTGAGGTAGTCTGGCTTCAGTGAATAAAACCCAAATTTGCTCACAAAAACTATGTACACACAACAAACTGGCACATCGCAGAGCACTTGGGAGTTTTCGAGAGGTGGATTTTGGATGAGGCTCCAGGTGAGGCAATAAAAGCCATGGAGAAAATTTCTAGAAGAGGCAGAAACACTGGCTCCATTTTCTTCAACAGGACATCTCATCATCATTGGTCTCATCCATACATATAAGTATCTCCAAGGGGTGTCAGAGGATGGTGCCAGACTCTTTTCGGTGGTGCCCAGAGACAAGACAAGGAGCAATGGCCATAAATAAAACACAAGCAGTTCCACCTCAACATAAGGAAGAACTTCTTTCCATGGCAGGTGGCAGAGCCCTGGAACAGCTGCCCAGGGAGGGTGTGGAGTCTCCCTCTCTGCAGACATTGCAAACCTCCCTGTGTCACCTGCTCCAGATGACCCTGCTGAGCAGGAGGGTTGGATTATCCCCAGATATCCCTTCCAACCTCAGCTATTCTGGGATTCTGTGACATGCTAAATTCAGCAATTGCCACCCACATGAAGAGCCTCATTTTAAAACCAGCATTGTATCCTGTTGTATCCTGTTGTGCTGTAAACTGAGGAACAGATCAACACTGATATTGCTCCCATCCAAACACTGTATAAGAAATTCAGCTGGAAAACCAGCCCTGCTCCCACAGCTGCCATTGTGCTACTTACCAGCTGGATTTTCCAAATAACCCAGGCCCTGGAGCCTGCTGAGGCTTTCTGAAAATCTCCCTACTTATGCTGGGAGCTCAGCCTTTCCCAGCCCTCACCAGTGAAAGACTTTCTGACATGTTCTAAGAACGAGAAGGAGCCCCTGGACAGCAGAAACATTTCCTACTGTCAGTTCCCCCTTGCCAAAGGCACACTATTTCTCTGCTTTCCCTTTCAAAACCTGCTCTTTTTTTCCATGAACAAAACCCCAATAATCTGTAATGTTTACACTCATTAGTTACCAGCTCTTCAAGAAAACTAAATCAATGCTCAACAGCTGCTCTGGTGTGTTGGAGAACTCCAAACCCAAGATATTTTTCATGAAACAACCTCTCCTCACATTTACCCCACAAGTATATACATTATTTCCTGAGGATATTTGGACTTTTTAAGACATTTTCTGTTTCAGATGATCAAAAAAGCATTTTGTATTTAGCATTTTGTATTTGGTTTTGTATTAAAAAACATATTGGGAAGCACATCCCCATCCACTCCAACAGCAACTATAACCCTCTTACCAGTATAAATATTTAAAAATCAGATGCTTGTGCTCACTGCTATCACACAGAAAGTATTAATTGTTCCACAGTGCTGCCCTGGCACGTTCTTGTTTTCTTCTGAAAGCCTCTATCAAGAATTTCTTGGAGACAATGCTATAAACTTTCCCAACTTAACCCAACAACAGTATCAATTACAAAGGTTTGTTTTCTCTAAAGTTAATTGGTTACATGTCTTCATGAAAGCAATCAAATAACACAGATTTTCTTTTTCCCTCAAGGAAATTAAAAAAAAAATAAATAATCTAACTCCTCTCAAATGCCCAGTGTTCAGTTTCCAGGTTTTCATAATATCTGAACACTCAGGATATGTCAGGTTGAGGACAAAAATAATTTCTAATATTATAAAGAGCAGAAACATATCTATTTTTAGGTAATTAACACCCATAATGCCCCAAAACTTAAGAAGCCTTTTTATTGTCTTTTAGACCTCAGCAATGACAATTTTCTCTCTTTGCAGGCCATTTTTACAGAGTTGCTCACAGGCTCCTGGAACTCAGGAGCTGTGTCTCTGATGTAATCTAAGGTAACAGCACTCCAGAGATCCATATTCCCTGACAATGCAATGAGTGTTTCCCAGGTTTAAACACATGGAATCAAACCAGGCCCACGTGCAGGTATGTGCCCTACCTGGAATGACCCCGGGGAAGGATGAGAAGACACCTGTTTGGCAGGTAAAGAGTCAGCCCTGTGCAGATTCCTGGGAGGTCTGTATTCCCCATATCCTCCACAGTTTCATCTGGGAGGAACCAGGTCTGCTTCTTTATGGCATGTGATAAAAGGAACCCTGAGCATGTCAGCTCTCTCTGTGCTGATAAGGTACAGATCTGATTGTTCTGTACAGCTCAATTCCAACAACACCTCTGAAATCCCGGGTGGGAACTGCTGCCTTTTCCAGGAGTGGATTATTCACCACTTGACACATTTCCCCACTCTAAAGCTCAGCAGAGCCACGGATCTACCTGATTCTGAACCAACCTGTTTCACTTCAGCAGGAAGGAGTCCCAGAGCAAGGGCTGGTTCCAGGTCTACGTGTTTCATTCCGACCAGGGTGAATTTTTCCAGGTCTAGGTTTCTGAGGATCCTGGCAAGATTCTGGCTCCAGACCCTGGGTTTGATGAGCAGCACTGTGCAGAGGACCTGGGCTCCTGGAACAAAGCACTCCCGTGAAACACACAGCAGGAGTTGTTTACTAGCCTGGATGGACCTCTGGAGATGAGGTTTATGGAAAAGCTGGCATGAAGTTCATAAAAATCTGAACAAAACAGGTCCATAAAACGCCCCATGTATAAAGGATTATTTATTTATTTATTTATTTATTCTTTTGTTGGATTTTTAGTTTAAAAATACATCTAAAACAGTTAAGGCTTGGAGATTCTTTCCCCCCCCCCCCAGGAAATCTGCTCCAAGTCCAAAAAGTTTATGTGGCAGGTCTGTTGGATAAGACTCAAACCTTTCTATTATACATTAATGTTTTAAGAGGGATAAAATATTCCCTTTTACATTTTTCATGTGAACTGTAGAGATTATGTGATGTAATCCTTAAGGCGGCTATTAAATTCTTATCCCTGTGTTCTGTATCTTGGTTAGAGCTCTGTTTCAGAGAGGCACTAACAAGCCTGACAGGTCCCCATTAATGTCATAAACCCATTATAAATAGAATTGTGTTTACCAAAATTGACATTTCAGCAAAAACTTTCTGCTTCTGGCAAAGCTCTCCCAGCAGAGCTGCAGCACTATGAGAAGCAGAAAACAAACCAGACCAAGATAACTTCACTGTCTGATGGTAGAAAATGGATGTAAAGGCAGAAAATACATAAATTCCATTTTTAATGACAGCATTTTCGAGCTTTTAGTTTTGCTAAAGTACTTACAAACTAGGAGCATAGTTAATATTTTATCCTAATAACATCTCTTGAAGATTTATTGGCAACTGTTGGGTCAGAACCAGTTTGTGAGGCCCCAGGAACTGCTGGTGCTTAACCATGTCAATCAGCAAGAAGGAAGTGACAGGTGGTAAAACTGATCCAAGATTATCTGTGTACAAAATATGTCATTTTATGTTTCCTGTACACCCCACTACTCATTATACAGATGTCAATGCAACAAAGCATCAACAAGGCTACCTGTGATTGAATGTTGTTATTTTCAGGTGGCAAGAAACAAGATTCATGGCAGGGAAATACAGGATTAAAAATATAAAGGAAGATTCCTGCCTTCCCACTTGAGATGGAAACCTAACCCTTGTCGTGCAGGGAGCCCTCCTATTAAAGATGTGCTATTTTCTTCACATCCATCTTGAACAGAAAGATTTAAATGCCATAGCAACAGCCTGCAAGTGCAGGAAGCTGCTTGGATCTGCTGAGCTGCTGGGATCCACCTTGGCTATCTCGATGTTCTGGAAGTGCTCATTGGCCTCCAGATGTTTTTAGTCACCATCTGCTATGTTTTTTGGGTAAATATTCTCATTCTTGTGCTTATGTGAATCACTACTTGCTGCATATTTATGGACTTCAGGTGCTTCAGGAGGGATTTGTCTCACATCACTTTGCCAGGTTGGTTTGGTCAAAGACAAGTGTTGAAAAGAGGTGGGACACCTTGTCACTGAGGGTTGGCTTCCTCTCCTCAGTGATTATAAGTGACAAGAGTTAGACAAAACACCACTAACCACTGCAACAATTTCTGCTGATCTGGAATTACCAGAGGTACCTGTTTGGCAACCTAAAACCTGCCTGATTTCTACCTCCAGTTTGGCTGTTCAGTGGCCATCCCAGTTTCCTGGTTTTTACTATGTTTTTCTACTTTTTAATATTAATATTTTTTTAGATCCATTCCTCAGAGCCAGTGATTTCCCCCCCCAAAAAAAATTATTACATAGGTTTTCATTTCATATCAAAAATACTGTTTATCTTATATGCTATTTATATACAATACTTCAGACAGGTGTGTGACTTCAAATAAGTGTAAACTCAGGAGAAGCAGATACTAGATTTCCTGGCAGGCTTAGGAAAGGGAGGTTATCACTGCCTGTATTCCAGCCTCAGGAAAATGTTGGTATAATCCTGTTGCTTATTTTGGGCTGGTACATCCAGCTGAGTTAGTTCCACCAAGTCCTTATCAAATGACATTTTTCCATTTGCTCTTCTCTCACCTGTGTGCAGGTAGGCAAACAGGGACTCTGCACGGCCTCTCCAGCTCTCACCCACTGAAAAAGAGAAGCAGAGAGACTGGAGTGAGTGGTCTGTGCATTCCTGGAGAGTAACTGGAGGATGTTGCCATCATTTCTACCTAATGCAGCCAAAAGTGTTATACTGGGGCATGCATGGCTTGATTTCAGATGTACTGGGACACCCTGGGAAGTGTCACATTTCCACCCTTCTTCACTGAGCCCAAGGGCATATGCTGAATAAGACTGCAAGTACAAGTCCTGTGGGTTCTTGGGTACCTTTTCTGGGATTTCAGGGAGTGGCTAACAGTGGTTTTAAGCCACCTTTGTGCTGCCAGTACTCCACAGTCAAGTTAGAAGCCTTGTGTCCAGTGTAAATCCCAGAAGCTCAGGTGTTCTGTTTGATATCCTCTCCTGTGCCCTTGGAAGCCAAGAAGTGCTGTGGATTCTGAGTACTGAGCCCAGCTCTGCTGATAAAACCTCACTGACACTCCCCAAACAGCCAGGAACGACTGCTCCAGTGGTTCTTCATCAGAGCAGAGCAGGGTGAAAGGATCTGGTGAGTCAGAACTTAGGACAAAAGCCTAGAGAAAAATGTTTCCTTCAGTCTAATGTAAAACCTGCAGTGACCTGGAGAGGTGAGGAAAATTAAGGCACTTCATGTGAAGTGAGAAATTATCTAAATCTAGGGCACAATGAGGAGAATCCTGCATCAGATTAATAAAAGACTTCCTTTGCCAATGGCTGGCAAGTTCAGCCAGTGTGACAACAGAAAACTACAATCTGTTCATCGAAACAAAATTACCATTTTTTGGGTATTTATTACTGTCCAAAATCCATGTATTTCTACTTCCCAGGACAACGTAGCTGGAAGGTGTCTAGCCAAAGTGTTTTTCTTCTAATAAGACCTCTTTCTCTTTCCACATGGTTGTTGTTTATTTTGACGGAATTGTAAGAGCACAAATCGGTGGAATCAGCTCCCAGATCCTTTCCTCATAACTTTTTAGCTCCCATCCTCACAGTACCAATTTTTTTCTTTAGGATTGGGGTTATTTGAAAGGATCTGTGAATTCCATGGTGATCTGGGTGGCACTGTGATGTACATGACAGGGAATGCCCATTCTGCTCTGATTTGTCACTCACTTGGGCAATGGTGATCAAGACATTTCACCTCTCTAAAACATAATGCAACTCATCTTTTTTTGAGATCAACATCTGAAAAGAGCTGCTAAAAAGCAGGCATTAATTACTCTTCCAGACTAATTTCCACAGTAACCCTACACAGGTCACTCTCAGAACTGCATAGGAGAAAGGTGATCTGGCAGTCCATCTTCTCCCAGCACCAAGTGGACCCATCTGGCCCTAATTTCCTGGGATTAGGATGTCTAACCAAAGGTTTACTAATCCCCTTTTAATGGCTCTGACAGAGGACAGTTATGGTTTCCTTCAATCTATTTAAGAGCATAAGTTAACTTGTTCATATCCAAGAGGCAACTGGTAGGTATTTCTGGTCTTACCTTCAGCCCTGGACCTCCTGCCAGGAGGTGGCAGGTATTTCATGGCAGGGCGGTGTTCTGCATCTGTAAAAGGAAGGAGATGTATTTTTATGGATTGACAGATGGGAAACCTTCACTGTCTGGGGGTAAGGGGTGACAAAGGTAAGTTTATTTAGCAGTGGAAATGGCAGACATTTGACTTGCTACAAAAGTATTAAAGAGCTGTTCTCTAGCACAAAGGCCTCTCCATTCCTCCCACAACAATAAAAACAAGAGGAAAAATGTAATGATCCTATAAAAGAGAGAGTGCAGGGTGTGGAAGTCATGTCTAGCTGTGCTCCTTTGTTCCTGACAATGGCTTTGGTGGGAAAGGCTGGCACTGCCATTATAACCTCCCTCAATAAACTGAGCTCACAGCTCTGCTTCCCTCTTATCCTGCCTTTTCATCTCAAGATGACTTTAATCAAGGGCTGCAGTGCATGAATTCTTACTAGTTTATACACTAATTTGGGATGTCTGATGCCTCCATTTCTGGAGGCCTCCTCTTCTTGCTCACCAATCTCACATAGAACTCCCACATAGATCACTAACAAATCTAACTTTCTATGAGACTAAGCTAAGGATCTTTTCCCAGACAAATCACATTTTCTTCTTTCTATTCCTCACAGCCAATTTGTTACTCCACACTACACAGGCACAGAGTGTTTGACACAAGCATCTAAGTTTGTGTTGACAACAAAGGACCTTTCTTCCCCAAGGAAAGATAAAGGAAGAGCTATAAATTCAAAGCACGAATGCACTTATGGAACTGTGTCACTGCTCTGCAGTTGATACATGGTGTTACCACAATCTTGATTTCTCTCTGCTTCTGACTAATCACAGAATGGTTTGGGTTGGAAAGGACCTTAAAGGCCATCTCGTTCCAACCCCCTGCCAACCTTCAGAAGTTGGCAGGCTCAGAGCTGTTTATCTCTGGGTTTGAGGAGTCAGGCAGCCCAAAAATGGAGGTGACATGGCAAAATATTTCCCATTAAAAGAAAAGAGCGGGAGCTTGTAGTCTGTTGCTCCAAAACATCCAATACCAATAACCCCACAGTCTGCACAGTGATTTAGTTTTAAGAGGCATGGCTATACATCTCTTGGTACAGGAGCAAGTCTACTGTGCTGAAAGATCGATGCTGGCACATATCACTGAAACCTGAGAAGCTTTTGACAACAAAGGTCTCCATTCCTCTGTTCATTCTCATCCAGGATAAAAAGAAATTCTCAAGAAATCTGCTTTCTTCAGGTCCTGCACATTGGTCACACCTTCATCCCCCTGAGTACAGGGCAAGGCCGAGGCATCAGGCCCCAACAAGTTTGGCACCACAGTCAGTGTCCTCTTTAGGTGGAAAAGGTCTTGGCCCTGTTCTTCAGGTTCTCTACTATAGAAATGTAAAATGCATGGTGTTATTTACTGGTCCTGCCAACTGCTCTGATATCTATTCAGTACTTATGGAGCACCTCGAGATCTTCAGAAAGGGCACCAGGCCAAGCAGAGCCACATTAATTTAAAAAGCCAACTAGCAGATGCCCTCAGCTGGCTCCTGCTGATTTCATAGCCTTCATCAGAATTCAGCCAAGTACAGAATTTAGCCCCAAACTATTAAGTTTTTCTGTGCCTGAGAAAACCCATAGCATTGGATTCCTTTGTCCAAGTTCAATCAATTCCCAAACACCTTATCCCTGAGGATAACATAAATAGTAACAACATGTCTTACCGGCTACAAAATCAGCCTCTGTGAAGAAGAGGATGGCTTGTCTGAATGTCACCTCTGGAGTCAAGGCCATTACTGCCTGTGGGAGACTTCCACTTGTGGTGAGCTTCTCCCTACACTGTGTTAATCCCTCCAAGACTCCTGCAAGAGTTTCGTAGGCATCGATCCCCCGGAACAGGCACACGAGGACGGGGTTGGACATCAGTGTATCCAGGCTCCTCTGCCACTCAGTATCCCCAGCCTCAAAGGGGGTTATCTCTCTGGCCTGCCATCGAGTGAGGTGGGGCAACCACTTCAGGCCTAGGAGCTCTAATCCTGACCCAGGCTCTTCTGCAAGTCAAGAGAAAAGTGTTCAGCATCAGACAGCAGCAAGTGTTTCATGGGAGCTCTGTTTGCTTTTGGAGACAGATGTTCTGACTTCACACTGATTTTTTTCACTAGACAAGTTCCAAAGCTGCTTCACCACCACCCATCCAGAATGGACTGTAATGCAGATATAGGAACACAATGGGAAAACCCACAAGATACAAATGCTAGGAAATAACATTACATTGAAAAGAAAAAATGGGCTATCTGGGAAATCAACAGGGAGCCACAGGGAGCAAATGCCATGATTTAGATTAGAGAGCACAGCTAATGGAGAAGAGTTGAAAGGGAATTCCTGAGAATACACTGACAACAATGTGGCTTGCCACAGCATAATCCATAATTATAGATCCTTTAGCACCTCTCATAACATTCCACTTCAAGCAATGTTCATTATAGTAATAAACTACAATAGAATGCTGACTTGTCTCTAGTTTAAATGTTGTTGTGTTTGTAAAGTAGTCTTACTGCAATGTAGCAAAATATTTAGGGACTTAATCCATGAAGTTTCTGTCAGCTGGGGTCTCATGGACAGAACTTAGTAGTATTTCAAGTAGCATTTCAGCATAGTTTTAGGAGTAGGATGTGACACAGTATAAGACAGGGCCAGACTTCTGCCCTTCGTGCACACACTTCCTGTATTATTACACTTCAGTGCAACCTGCATCATGAAATTATATAAAATCATCATCCTGCCTAGGGCTTGACAGCCCTCTTCATGCATGTGTGAGCATTTAACATGGGGATGGCATCGGTTTTCCTCCTGTGCACGAGGAATCGAAGCATGAAGCAGTGAAGTGTCTTGGTTCTGCTCACAAAGGATGTCAGAGGACAGAACAGAGGCTGTGACTTCCAAATTCCTGTTGCTGTGCCCCAGTTACAGTTGCCTGATCTCTCAGTACTTAGGGAGAGACATAATGCTCTGAATTACATAAAAGCTTAATAATTCTAAGCACATCTTTAAACTAATTTGACAGTCTCTGAAGAAAATTATGGCCACCTGAGCTGTTTGTGATATGAAATGTGGCCTTGCCCATAACAAGTCATGACAAATTCTTCAGCTTTTTAAGCAGGTGAACAAAGAAACCTGTTCTTCTTCCACTCACCACATTTTCCATGATGTTCCTGCTATGCTAAAAGCAGCTGGCCAGGATAAACTTCCCTGACCAAGTTCCCCAGCCCTCCCCAAGAGCTGGGATCACCTGCACTCCGAGACTGGTTGTTAAGCCCAGGAAACAGGATCTGGTGAAGGAGCTCTCCAGCACTTTTCATGGTCTCCATTCCAACCACTGTCAGTGTCACAACTTGCTCCATCCCGGGATCAGCAGCGTACGTTCGCTGGCAGAAAAAATCCAGAGGAATGTTGTGGGGCTCTGGAACTGCGCTGAGGTTTCCTCCTATCCAGGGAGATGATCAAAACCAGAACTGTTACCCCACAAAACCAAATCTCAGGTCTTTTTTACTGTGAAGGAATTAATTCTCAACCAAGCAAAGGCCAGTGTTTCACTGTCTCCTCATGCTGCAGCTCAGCATGGCCAGGAAAAGGTTCCTGCATGAGGAGTGTTATCACAGCAAACCTCCACTAATTAGTTCCACTCCTTCCCTGGAATTACATTTTGCCGTGTAAAGCAAATATATTCACATGTAATTTTGATATCCTTATTCACCTCCTTAAGCAGAGTTGATAGATCTACACCAAAGTGATTGAAGGCATCAATTTTGGATTGATAACTGGTGTTTGACTTCACATGAATTCAATACTTCACTTTGCTTTCAAGGAGATTACAGGGCACACAACTGAGAGCTAATTTGGGGACTACTGCAACACCATGTTTGTAGCCACGATCCTGTTGGGAATGGTATAGCCTGTGTTTGATTCCATACTGTTTCACTACCTAATTATTAAAACCATTGTATTGATAAACATTTATTTACTTAGTTATTCCTATACCTTAACATTTCATAATGCTGGAGAATGGTGAATAACATGCATTTGATGATTATTTTTCCTTATTATTTAGTACGAATTCAGTTTTGGAAAGTAACATATTTCAACTAAAAGTCCTGACATCCAAAAATTCAAATAATTTAATTAAATAAATCTATTAGAACCTGCTTAACATGCAAGAAACCTGTAGTTAGTGAAATAAACATCTGTTTACCAGGACCTTCAAGTGCACAGAACTAGTAAGTTTAAGACTCTCCCACCCATGTGAGTCACAGTTTTAAAGCAGAAAACCCATTTACTTGCTGTTTCAAATCCTATCAATTTCCCAGCTTTGAATGAATGAGTTACTAAAGTGAATTCAACTGTATAAACTGAAATTAAGAATATCTGAGTAAAATGAAATTGAAAAGTGCCTTTTCTGCACCTACAGAAAAAGTAGAGCATTTATCACTTCAGCACATTCCAGTTTTACACACAACCACTGATTTATCTCATTTTAATATTTTGACTTCTCTTGAAACTATGGCAATAAATATCAATAGACTGGATATTAATCTTTTAACTAAATATATTAATTAAGGCTTAATTGGATGTTATCATGTCACATTTAAATAATTTCTTTTTGCATGTCTTTTTAATTAACTTAAAAAGTATTTTCATTTTGCTTTTCTATTGATTCTTCCATTCATTACCTAGCAGCAGAATGCAGCCAAATGAGCATTACCATGATTGATGGAGAGCAGAACAGTAAATGAGCTATCATATACAAAAAGCACATTCCTAATGGTTTTCTGCAGGAAAATGCCTTAATAAGGTTGTAACACCTTATGGGGCTGCCTCATCCCTGGAAGTGTCCAAGGACGGGGCTTGGAGCAACCTGGTCTAGTAGAAGGTGGCCCTGCCCATGGCAGGGGGTGGAACAGGGTGGTCTCCAAGGTCCCTTCCAACCCAAACCATTCTCTGAGTCTGTGATCCAATAAAAGCCAGGACAATGCATTTCCCACAGCTCTGACCTACCCAGGGCCTGCAGCGAGGTCTCGGCGTACGGAGCCACGTGGAAGCAGACAGAGGCATCCAGGCCAGCAGTCACAGGGGGGCTGCTCTGCCCACTGCCAAGGCCTGGCTTTGCCAGCTCATCCATCAGCCCTGTGCAGGGAACAGCAGCAAACATGAGGGATCCAGAGCTCTGACATGAAAAGCCTCTGCTATCAAATGTTGGATCCATACGAACACAGTTCCATTACCGAGACGTTAACGTGGGTCACGCTGAGCTTACCCGAGACATGAAATGCACCTGAACCATCTCCTCTCCCCCAAATCACATTAATCACTTCAGTGGGGCAAGCAGTTGTTGAGAATTGAGGCTGGGCCACAGCTTTCTCTGGAGACACCTCTGCTTTGGGAGCAGCACCCCAGTTGTTTCTATCGCCTTCTAACTCCTGCTGTGAACGTGCAACAAATGCACAGATGCTGCCACACAGCTGGATTAGAATAAATATCTTAAATAAGTTGGTATCCACTAGGAAGAGTCACAAATGTGAGCCCAGCGCTCACGTGGAAGCCCTCAAGGTGTCTGACACCCCAAGGCACAAGGCCAACGTCCTGCATCCCACATGGCACCACGTGAACATGGAGGTTTCAGACCTGATCAAAGACATCATGTCCTGCTCGTGTAACTCCCAGCCTGGAAAATATCTGATTCCACACCACTTTCACAGACACTAAGTGCTTAAACCCAGTAATCTCTCAGCTTCATTGCTGCTCCAAAGAGCTGGGCTGCACACAGGCAGTGCATTAAGGGGCTGGCATATGCTACACTTCCACAACAATTAGTTCAGCCTTCTGTAATAATATTTCAGACCACAGTTTTAAAGGCTTGTTATTTTTAAAATTACTTTGTACACATTTGATTGCTTTCTACCGTACAAGGCTGTCAAAAATTCACTCTAGTGGAACATGAGAAATGGATTATTGGTGCTGGAGGCTGATGGCAAAGCTCAGGTGTCAGATGTGCCACTGACAATCACCTCTGCTTCTCGAAATTCAGCAGGCAAGAGGAACCAAAAATGTGCCATCACTGTCACAGCATTACCTGCTGTTTGTTCAAACTTGGGGCATGGCAAAAAGTAAAGCTTGGACATAAATATATAGTGTTTGATTCTCAAGACAGAGATCCTTACCCAAAACCACCTATTTATCTGCTCTATTTCAGGAATAATTGTTGAGCTTTTCCTTGCTCTGAGAATTAAACAGTGTTCAAGATCTAAAAGGGGTAACTGCTTTTCAGGGGTACTGATTATAAATGCAAAACTTCTTAGTGAGGTATTTATCCTACTCAAATCCTAGTGCTATTCTTCACTTCCCGGAGGCCAAACCAAAGTTTGTGTGGCAAGAGTGTTAGCTTCCCCTCTCCAGGGCTCTGGAACATGGACTAAGGTCAGTTCTGAAGCACAGGACTGATGCAAAGAGCACAGAACACATGGAAAGAGGCATTTGCAAAATCTGTCTAGAAACAAAGGAAAAAAACCCCTGAGTTCTCTACAATGAGGGAAAACATTTTACCTTTCCAGACTATGCTTTGTTCCAGTCCCACCTATATATTTCCAGTGGAAATTTCCCTGTGCAAGACATCAACACTGTAAACATCCTCTGTGGCACTGAGAAAAGGAGCAGAAACTGTACTTTTTAATAAGCAACTTCCTTTGGGTGTAGAGGCAGCAGGTGACATAGGGCTCTAATTATTCTGCCATGATTAATCCTCTGTGTCTGCACTTGTTTTCAGAGCAGTCTGTGATAGTCTCAGGAGAAAAAGCCCAGGACTTTTTGAATTGCCATTTTTTTTCCCAAACCTCTAAAATGGACAGTTTAAAGGAAGTGACTGGGCTGTGGATGAATGTCCTCCTCATGGGCTATCTGTGGTGGTGTTAATGGAGGGGTCAGTCACAGGGACCCCCTTCTTGGGAAGAGCTGGGCAGGGCAGGATTTCTGTTCCCTCCTGATCACTCTGATCTTCCCCACTTGAGACCAGTGTCAACTCATCCTCAAGAAAACCAAATCATGTTTTTCCTGAACCAGAGCCTCAGCATAGTTTCATTCAAGTAAGAAGATTTGGGGCAGCAACTTGACTGTTTTTGGCAGTCCCTAATATAAAATGAGGACTTGGAAGTCACAAGTACGCAGGACTTGGAGCTGGTATTGGTAGGATCAGATGCTGCCCTCAGGCTCAGTGGCACATCTGCATTTTGGCTATCCTACCTCTGTATGCAATAAGAATATCTGAGAGGAGGTTGTTGAGGTCATATAATCATAGAAAGTCCTGAGCTGGAAGGGACCCACAAGAATCATCGAAGTCCAACTCCTGGCACTGCACAGGACAATCCCAAGAATCCCACACCACGTGCCATGTGTGTGAGATGACCAAGTCAGGCCCAGTATGGAGGTGTACGGAGACAAGGCTCACAAATTCAAGCAGGGGAGGCTCAACTTGACATAAAGAAAAAACAGTTCTCATAAGGATGGCCCAGCATTGGAACAAAGCCCCAGAAAGGCAGGGGAGCCTTGTAGATTTTCAAGACCTGACAGGAAAACCCCTGAGCATCCTGATTGGAATTCACTGCTGATGCTGTACTGAGCAGGAAGTTGGATGAGACGCTCTGAGGTCCTTTCCAAAAGGAACTACTCAGTGATTCTAAGTTCAAGAGGACTCCAGTGCTAAAATCAAACACCTGGTAAAGATCAGCCTGCTCTGTTGAATGGGTAGTCGTGACTGATTCACACCTTGGTCTGGGGAAACGTACAGAAAACTAGCAGGCCTTGATATTGTCCATAACTATTCCCTGCACTGTAACAGCTGTGGTCAGACTGCTAATGTTTAGCTCACACACAGTGAAATGCAAACCTCCTTCCCCCAGGCTGGTGAGCAGGGAAAGCATTACCTTTCATCAGGGCAGGAATGTGATGACTTGCATTCTCCTTCCTCAGCAACAAAACGAGGCAGTGCCCCCGTGGTTCAGCTGGGAGTTCTCCCCTTGCAGGACTATCAGGTGAGCTTGAACTCTTTCCAGGGCAAAAAACATCAATCTGAAATAATGAGGGCAAGTTAGACTGCTAAATCCACATGTAATTACTATGGCACTCCAGCAAATAGATAAATTGCGATGGCATAACATGATACAGCTCAACACTGAGGCACAGGAATTTTCAATATCTAGGTGTTCATGCATCACCTATTCATGAGGCAGAGAAACTTAATTTAAACCTCAGGGAAGAGGCTTTACATAAAAACATTCTGCCCTGGAACTGGGCTGGGCCAAAACCACAACAGTGGTAACAGAGCTGAAATGTGGTACCACTTTAAGTCACTCATACAAAAATGATCTTGAGTCCCAAATGAAGGGATGATTTTCAGAAATTTAAGCTCCAAACAGCACATTGCAGCAATAGCTGCTGCTGTTAACTTCTTAATGGCCACTCAGGATCATGCTCCAAACACCTGGTTATTTGGTCTGTGGTATTCCATAAATAGGTTATATTCATCCTAACAAATATCATGGCCAGGGACATTATTATTCCTTAGGCTTAAGCAGAAAAGAGGGGATTTGTACAGTTTAATTTGCAAAATGATGTATTTGCTGACTGACACAGCAAACAATGCTCAGCATGATAATTTGAAGTCAGGGATCTGCTCCTTTGTGAGAGAAGGTGCCATAATATTTCTGTGTGATTTATAATGTACGAAGTGCAGCACTGGACTTCTTGCACATGTTAAGTTTGACTCCAATCTTGCATTTATGATTATTGCTGTTTCCTTAGGCTGACTTGTCAAAATGCCAACTGCATTTTAACTCAAATCTATCGCCATGTTAGAAAGAGGTTCAAAGAAAAAAAAAAGTTAGTTTTGATAACAGGAAAGCTCTTTTTGCAATGCATTTGGAGTGCATTGAACGAGGGGACTTCCTGCTGAAAGGCCCCGATGGACTGTGAAGTACAGCACCAAATATCAGCCTGTTAGTGAAGACTATCTCCTGAACACACCTTTGCAGATCAGTGAGTGTTATTTTGGTTCATGGGGCTACTTGCTTTTCTGAGATCAATGGTAAAATTCATATTTGTTTTAGTAGGAGGAGGCCCAATGATGAATTTACACTCCTGTTCCTAGTGAGAGGCCAAGGCCCAGAGGGATTTTTCCTACTGGAGAAAAGCCAGCACTGAAAGCAACCCAAGTGCCGCTCCCAGGAACAGGGAGAACACAAGTGCTGTGTAGCTGGAAAAGAGGGAATGGGAGTCCTTGGAGCACTTACTAGAGGAGCATTGGCATAATTAGTTCCAGACCAAGGGGTAACAGGGTATACAACTCGCTGTGTTCTGTCCAGTACCTGCCTTGTTGTCATGCTCAGCACAAGGCCTTGCTGGGGTGAGAGCTGCAGCTGCCTGAGGCCTTGCAGGACAAACCCCCGACGAGCACAGACAGACATCACCCTTCCATAGGCACGAGGAGACACCACAGGCGACACCAGCAAAATGATGTCCCCTACAGCAAAGAGAGGGCAAGGAAAGCAGCGTGTTATTGTCACAGAAGCTGTGGTACCAGTGCAAGGCAGCTCTCACAGTGGGTGGTTCCAGCTTGAAGCACATCCCAAATGGTGACACTGTGTTTTACAGTTTATTTGCTATATCCAGCTCATAATGACTGCAAGCCAGTGCCACCCTAGGATGGAAAAGCTTATGGCATCATCAGTAATTTCTTTATGAATCATACACTCCAGATAGCCTGTCTCATCAGGTCTGGGGGGTATGTGGCTCAGCTCACGTGCAGGCAGTGTGTCACCCTGTGGGGACTGGGGGCCTGATAAGCCTGGCCACATGATGAGTAACCAAAGTCAACAAGAACAGCTTGTTCTTGAACAATTTCTCCACTATGAAGTGCATGAAGCAGCCTCAGCCATTCCTCTCTGCTGTTACTGGTGGTCCCAGCCTGCAGCTGCTTCTGCAATCCTGCTCAGCACCACCTCCTGCTTCCTCTTGTCCCTCCTTTACTCCTGTCTCTAACCTTCATCCCAGAACCTGCCTTGTGGTACAGTCTCCTGAAGCTTTGGACCAGCCTGTGATCATGATTTCACCTCACTCTTTGGTTTGGAAACCATCTGAGGCCTCAGAGGTTCCTTGGTCATCATGACAGTGATACCAGCCTGCTCTGTCCTACCTGATCCTCATCCACTGGGTCTGGCTGCTTCAGTTCTCCTTGTGCCCCTCACCCCAGTAGATAAGGTTCCATTGGGTTAGCACCTTGGGGTTTAGACTCCTGCTTTGTGAGTTGAATCCCAAGCTCACTGCCAACACATGCTATGGGCAAGACCAGGAAAAAGAGACTACAAGACCTCCCGAGCAGTCTAAGCCCCATCTTAGGCACTACAAGACAACATCAAGACTTTTCCTTGAAGCTTCTGATCAACTTGAGGTCTTTGCTTTGTTCTAATCTTATTTTGGCTGTTTTTACCACCACCTTCATTATCACACCTTCCCAGCTCTAACACAGCTTTTTATCCCTCACAATGTACATTCAGATCTCATAACCTGCCAAGAGTGACCTCTGAGGGCGAAGCCTCAGTGCCACTTCTCCATGGGTTTCCTCTACACTGCCCCATTAATTTCTCTTAGCTCTAATCAGGTGATATGAGATTGGAGGATTTCAGTCTCTGCGTCCTAATTACGCTTGTTTTGGTGGGTAGGACAGCGACTATTTCTTTTTATTTTAGATTTTGTGGTATGAATAACCATCCTCTCAAGAATCTGACCAAGGCTCAGACTGGTAGTTCAAAGCAACAGTACCAAAACAAGACAAACCTTGTGTTTAGCACTAAGGATGGGACAGGTAGGGTGTTTCTTTGCCTAAAATTTCTATTTGGCTTTACCACTGACTTTAAGGCAGACATTCATTATATGGGAACTGTCAAAATACAGGGTTATGGGTGGTAAAATTTTGGTTCCTTTCTAGTTGACAACAGTTCTAAAAAACATTTTTGCATATAAAAAACCCAAATCAACAAAAATACCTGCTAGGGGGACTAAAACTTGGATTATTGAGAAGAGGCAGATCTACCTGGTGGGAGATGCAGTACATCTGCTCTGTATGGGTAAATATTCCTGTCTCCAAGAGAAGCTGCTGGAACCCTGAGGGAAGGAGTTAGTGAATGTTTCCTTTCCTTAAAACCCCACAGAGTGTCTGCTCCCAGACGAGATTTTCAGCTTCCCTTCCGAGAGCCATGATCCAGCTATCTTAGGAATGAAGCTCAACAGTGACTTCCTGAGCCCAAATATACATGGAACGTGGTGTGGTGTAACTCAGCAGCCCACAGCAACTGTGAATCATTAATGGCCATAAAAGGAAGGGGAGGCAGAATATGTGACTCATTCCATCAGTAGCCACCAGCTGCCATCAATCCCCATCCCAAATAACAGAGCCAATGGCTGGCTGCCAAAGTACCTGAGTTAACATGCGCTGTTGTACCAAAGAGTATTTCAAAACTGAGACTTGTTTTTTTTTGCTTTCTCCCTTCTCCATTTTCCTCCCATCACCCTCTGTCTCTCTGTGTTCCTTTCATCTTTTTGCTTATGCTCTCACCCTTTTCTCGTGGATTTTTTCCTTTGGCAATGTAATTTCCCATGCTTTCTTTCTCTGTCACTTCAATCCTGCCTCCCTTCTGCCACCTTCTCCCTGACAGCTACTGACCTTCTGCTCCCCTCAGGTTCCATTCCTGTGAAACTATCAACTGTGGGAGCAGAAACCAGCCACCAATGCTCTAAACATTGTCCAAAGATCCCTTGCACCCCAGATCTGCTGTGCCAGGCCCCACTACAGAAGTCTGTCAGCACATTGGCCTTTACAGCAGGTACACCAACGGGATCCTTCTTAGCCAGGTAAGGCCTTGGCAGGTGTCCCTTGGACACAGCCTGCAGCTAGTTAGGTACCAATTCAGAAGAGGAGAAAACTCCTACAAAGGGAAAAGGGGTATTTGAGTGGAATCAGCTTAATGCAGTGCTCCCCTTTCTGACTGCATGGTCAACCCTGCCCTGAATGAAGCCTTAACCATTTAATTCCCCTGATGATTATATTCAGCTCTTCACCAGGAGAGACAGATGATCTCTGATCAGATAAACAAGCAATTTAAGGATTTTATTAGGCCTTCACTATTTCTCTGATGAACAGGCCCCTCTGTGCAGAGATTTCCTGTGCACTGGTTTTTTGTTTCTTCCCCCCCCCCCCCACTTCAGTGACATCTAAGCAGCCTGGAGGACTCCAGCAGCTGCCTCCACAAGGAGGTTGATGTGTAACACTTCTCTGCCACTTCATTGCAGGAAAAATGTCCACTAGAAATTCATTGCTGGCTCTAGAACTGGCCAGGTCACAGCCCTGAGCAATCCAGGGAAGCAGAATTTCCCAAGACAGATGGGCTGGGGTAAAGTGACATTGCCAGTGAAGAAGAACCATGAAACCTCCAGATGAATCCAACGCTGACCTTTGGTAGTTGAGACAAGCATGGCTGGATGTCGAGGCAGCATCATGCTCTGGAGATCAATCTTTTCTTCATCTGCTTCTGTCCCAGCTGATGAAGGACCCTGAGAGCTACAGAAAAATGATAAATATTAAAAGCTGTTACACCAGATTCTGACTCAAATCTACTTTCTGCAGCAAATCCAGGGCCACAGAAGGTTCTCTGGTAAAACTGCTTTACTGAAAAAGCCATTTCAATCCCGTGTCCCTGACATGAGCTGCACTGAGGTCTCTCTGACTGAACATTTTTATATTACTCCCCCTGAGGCTCTCTGTGTTCAATTAAAAGTAGCTAATGCAAAGTACCCAGCTTGGCAAAGAAATCTGGGAATCAATAAATATGTTAGGCTGCACTACCAGAGCTATTCCCACCCACAGACACATCATAGTTGCTGTTCACATGGGGTTCTTTAGCCTGAGTTTAAGCAGTTTGGAAGGTTCATGTTAGGCAACAAGCACGATCGAGTCTGGTAGAGATGTGCCAGGGAAACCTCTGCAACTTCCCTGCATATCCAGCAGGCCCAGATCAGGGCAGGGTGAACAGAAGGTGTGGTTTGGGAGCCAAGGACTGTCTGGGAACAGTTTGGCTGGGACTGTGAGCACAGGCTGCTCAGGCAAACCTGCCTCAGCCCTTCTGAGCTGGCTGGAATGTATCCTGCTCTCTGGAACACATCCTGCTCGCTCACTCCCAGGAGCCCATGGCATCTGCAAGGATAATCTGCAAAGACCCATCTGAGCTGCAGTCTGTATTCCTGTCTCCCAGTGGACCAAATCACCAGCATTAGGAGAAAGATAAGTGTATTGTTTAGAATGTAGTGCCACACCAGACTAAGTTATACCACAGGAGCAGAACTCATCATCTTTGTAAGAGGAAAAATAAACAAACAAACAAAATAAAAATAGAAACCAAAAAATACATAAACTAAATAATAATGTATCATATATATATAATTGGTATAATAATAAATTCATATAATAATGTATATTTATATATTTATAGTAAATTTATAAGATACATAATCTTTAAATGTAAATCATAAATTTATAAATAGAAATTATATATTTATGTTTGCAAATAAATGTATATACAAAGCTGTAATATGAATTATTAATAATAAACTTATATAATAGTATAAAATAATAGTATATATTATTACTATATATAGTACACATGTCAGGTAACAAATCAAAGTAAATTTTAAAATTTTGCCACCTTGATTTTTTCCCCCATCTTAAAAATAAAAATGATGAGAGCGGCTGTTGATGGCCAAGCAGAGCTGAACTCTCACACACAATCCCTCTCCAGCACCAGGTTAGTTCCACATGGCTGAGCTTTGCCACGCTGCAGAAAGCACTGCCAGCACTGCAGCTGATCTCCCCCCAGCCTGCTGCCACAGCCACTGTGCCACACTGCCCCCAGGAGCAGCCAGGATCCTAAGAACTGTCCACAGCCTGTAGGTGCAGGGCCTTCTCTGAGCCTTCTGCAGCAGTTTCACCACAGCATCATTTGTTCAGCAATGCTAAAAGGAGATGCCCACAAGCCAAAAACCCCAGTGCAGAGGCTGCATCCCATGTGCTTACACAGGGCTGTGGCAGACATGACACCAGGGAGGGGAGAGCTGCAGTTTGATACTATAGAATCACAGAATCATTAAGGTTGGATAAGATCTCCAAGATCATCAAGTCCAAACTTTGACTGAACACCACCATGCCCACTAATCTGCATTATGAAGGGCCACATCTACTCTCTTTTTGAACTCTTTCGGGGCGGTGACTCCACCTCAGCTGTGCCAGGGTTTCACCACCCTTTCAGTGAAGAAATTTTCCTCAATATCCAACCTGAACCTCCCCTGGCATAATTTGAGGCCGTTTCCTCTTGTCCTGTCCCTTGTTCCTTGGGAGCAGAGTCTGACAGCCCCCTCTGGTTCCCTCCTCCTGTCAGGGAGATGCAGAGAGTGAGAAGGTCCCCCCTGAGCCTCCTTTTCTCCAGGCTGAGCTCTCCAGCTGCTCCTCACAGGACTTGTGTCCCAGACCCTTTCCAACCTCTGCTGCCCTAACAAGCAGGAAAGGGCCCTCTGAGCACAGCAGAGCTCTATGCTCACACAGAGGATTAAATGTGCTCCCTGGGCCCTCAGGTCTGAGCCTCTGTCCAGGAAGCTGCAAGATTGTCAGGAAGGGAAGAGATTGTTTTGTGCCATAGAAAGTACTCATCTCCATCAAGGAAAAGCTGCAGAGAGATTTGGGAAAGAGAGTGTTGATAAGGAGTGCAAGGGAGTCTGGGTGCAGATGGTGTGCAAGGTCTGCTGAGTGTCACTTCACAGAGCTGCTCAAGCTTTTCTCCCTGCCCTCCCCTTTCCCTCACCCCCCTCTGCTCTGCTGGGTGAGGCCAACAGCAGGTATTTTGTCAGTGTTAAAAACTTTCAGATTAAAAACCACTCAGTAAAGCCATTTCTGTCCGGGAGCCTTTGGGAGCTGCAGGCCCCTCCCTGCAGCACTGCACAGCAGCACAGGGATGATCAGGGCTGCATGATGGAATAATGGATGCTTAAAAGCCATTCCCAGACCCATCCAAGCACGACATTCCAGACTCCTGAACCTCACTTGTGCCCAGCACTCTTTGGAACCCTATAGTTATGCCATCACTTCCTAAATTGCATTCCTCGTGCTGACAGCTAAAGGTTTATAAGCCACCCTTCATTTTCACACATATCTGTCATCATCCTCCAAAGAACCTTTTCCCTCTGAAGCCCCTTATCAATTGATATGGAGGGACATAGGGCAAAGCTAGAGCAGGTTTCCCAGGAAAGGGCCACTCCTTCTTCAACACCAAGTCTCCAAATCTTGCTGCAAGTGCATGAATTACCAGGCTCGCTACCAGGGAACAGGGGATGGAAAGCAATCACAAGTGTCCCACACCTGATACATCTAGGACCTGTGGGAACAGCCTGAAGTTGTGTCAGGAGAGGTTTAGGATAGATCTCAGAAAGAAGTTCTTCCCCCAGAGGGTGGTTGGGCACTGACCAGGCTCCCCAGGGAATGGTCACAGCCCCAAGGCCGACAGAGCTCAAGGACAACACTCTCAGGGACAGGGTGGGATTGTCAGGGTGTTCTGTCCAGGAGCTGGACTCAGTGATCCTGATGGGTCCCTTCCAACTCAGCATATTCTTTGATTCTGTGATCTGGTGCAGAAAAGAGGAGGACTTTTGCAGACTGTATAACTGGTTTGGAAACACAAAAGTAGATAGATTCCTTCCACCCTGCACTCCTGTTCCCCAGACCTTTAGCAGAAGGCTGACATGTAAAGAACACACTGCCTGTGGGAACAACACTTCCAGACCATCAGACCATCACCTGGAAGGCAGGTGCAGGATCCCAGCAGCCCTTCCTCCAAACCAGAGGCACAGCTCCCTGTGGCTGTCCAGGCAGGGCAGGTACATGAGAGGCTCCTCTTGGCTCTCGCTGTAGATGGCATTGATGGAACCACAGTCTGTCACTCTGGCCAGCCATGGGTCAGATGGCCCCATGATGTCCTGCAAGGTGCCACGTGCTCTAGGCCCTCTCACACACAGTGCCAGCACTGGTGGCACGTTGCCAAGCTCTGAGGTGTAGGAAGAAGGCAGCTTTTCTGTGGAAACAAACATACGTGTGAGTAAAACATGGAACAACCAGCCCCAAGGTCATTCATCCCACTCAAGTGCTCTGTCATAGCCAGACCTCAAAAGGGGAACCACCTGGTTACCTGCCCTGTGGGTCCTATGCTGGCAGCACCTGCAAATTTTTACCTAATGCTAAATCTGAGATTACTGAAGGTGCTCTATTAAAGACAGAGGAGTTGGTTGCCTCATATTTGCTGTGGAAAGGTGTGAGCACAGAGTTAGTGATTACAGAGCAGGTGATACACTGGAAGTGTCCCTGTCCATGGCAGGGGGTTGGAACTAGACAGTCTTTAAGGTCTTTTCCAACCCAAATTCAGCACTTTAAGTTCCTGTGCAGTCTGTTGTTCATGACCACAAGGGTGGGGACTGAAGTAGAGACAGGACAAGAAGAAGGTCCTGTGGAAAGGGATGTTTTTGAAAGGGATCACAAACTAGAAATTTGAAGACTTCTTTTCTACATTATTTCCTTCTGCATCAAATACAGATTTTGTACAATGCTGTAAGATCAGCTGCATCAACTCTTCCCCATGTCTCTGGCAAACCTTTTCCCATGTCTCCCAGCATAGCTGGGTCCAGGAAGTAAAAACAAAGAGAAAAAACAAATTTGGCTTCTCTGCAGTTCTTACTGCAGCTGTTAGAAAAAGCAGCAAGGCTTCCCTTAGGTTTAAAAGCATATTCAAAGACATAATTTCTTGCATAAGAATCAGAAATCAGAACATAAGTCTCTGGAGCAGGTAGATGATGAAGCAACTGGCTGTAAATACTTAAAATAATAATTTTCAAGTTTTCAAACGGGTAAAAGTCTAATTTACAAACTCACCCAGCAGTTCTCAGCTCAAATGAATTGTCTCTTCATACAAAATGTTCTTAAATAATACTGCCTGGTATAGAGCATTGAAGCAGATCTGCTGCCTGTCAGCTCCTAATGACTGGTGATTTTATGGTTTCCTTATTCATTTCTGAAGTCCTCCTTCATTTCTCCAGCTATCACTAGGAATGTGTTACGTGCACAGCCCTGAGAGAACTGCAACCCCATTCCTAAGGCAGTCTGCTCCTCTTGCTTCCAAATGCAAAAAGGGAGCAGGGAGACTGGAGAATTTTCTCTGATGAAGCTGGTCTTCACTCACCTTCTGCCAGAGGAAAAGCAAACCCATTTCCCTCACTCTCAGCCTGCCTATATCTTTCCCACGGGAAATGGACTGTCTGTATGAGGTGGTGTCATACACAAACCTTCCAGGAGAACTGCCTGGTTTAAAAGAAAGCACAAGCCAGGCTGTATTACAGAGGCAATCTCTAAACTTTGCAGCTAATGCAACACCTGTCGCTCTGGAATTATGTTGCATTAGCAACTAATAATATTCCATAATGCTTTAAGACAGGTTTCATCACCTCTGTTTCCCAAATGGGAAAAAATAAAGACTTGACCATAACATGCTCATTTGACACATTGGTGTCTTTGTGATTTGAGTTCAGAGACCCAGATCATTTTTATTTACCTTATCTTGTTGGTCTCCCATCTCAGATGGGATCCTATCATGGGATTCTATTAAACAATATGACATTTTGTGGATGTTTTACCAGCCAATGCAATTACAGGACAGCTAGATCAGTACTTTGCCCATGCTTGTGAAGTCCCACAGGCAATGAGATGGGGGAATTGTGGAAGAGGAAGGCTGGATTTTCTGCAGCTAAAACCTTCAGCAACATAGTGGGGAACTAAATTATTATATTTAACTCACATGATTCTAACCCTGGAGCTTAGAGCACTGCAGTTTGGGAGAGCTTGCTGCAAAGGAACAACTAAACTCTGAGACACCAAAATGTATCAAGGGTTAAAAATTCAACTCGTGGATACTCAACACCGGGAACAGAAGGAAAGAAACAGCCCTAGATACTGTATAATTTCTTTTGGGAAAGATATAGGGACTTATAAAGCAAATCTGACACCCTCTGCCCATGCCCACAGCACCACATCACCCTTCAGCTTTGGATTTACAGATCTTTGTCTTCCCTTCAGCACCATCACAGGATCTGAAGGAAAAGCAGAGCTCACCTGAGCTGGAGAGCAGCACATCCTGCTGGGGATAGAGCAGGCGGAGGCCACAGACATCCAGGCCAGAGCTGAGCAGCAGCTGCAGCAGGTGATGGGCAGCCAGGGGACTTCGGAGGAGCCTCTCAAACAGCAGCACCATGGCAACCTGAACAGAAGGAGCACGTTGGGAAAATGAGGCAAATGCTTCCAAGCCTTCAACAACCTCACAGTTGCATCCCTTCTGCTCACCTTTGGTTCCCAGGATGGATCTACACTCCAGGAGCTACAAAGAGGCTTGGTTTTGGTTTATGTTTATGTGCAGTTCACAAGAAGGCTCTTAGCTTTGGGCTGAATCACAACTATCAATGATAATTATAATTTAATCTATTTCTGTTGATATAATTGTGCCTTTTGTCATGTAAACCTACTAGTAAAAAACTGCAAGGTCTCTGGGGCAGAGACCAAAGCACATCACCTCTGCTGTTTAACTCTGTGTACTACCATTTGCCCATCTTTCTAGATGATTAAATAATAATAGACTAACTGGTTGTTTCTTTATACCTATAAAAGCGACATAATCAACATTAAAAAAAAAAAGATCAAAAGGCAAACACATGACTGGTACTCTCCCAAATTTACATTTTGAAGTCTTCTCTACCAGACTAATCCAATTCAGCCCATTCTGGCACATAGGAAGACACACAGCAACACGTTCTGAACGTCTATACCCAAAAGGGAAGCAAATTATTATTACTTTCCCATCAGAGAAACAAATTGGTTTAAAAAGCAAGTGCTTTAAAACAGGGAATGGTGTGGTGCTGTGGATAACACTGTTTTGCTGTAGGCCACACAAGCTGACTGCCCTGGCCCCAATCTGGGCACAGTTCTCCTGGATGCAGAGCAGCACGAGGATTTGCCCAGACCAAGGTTTACAGCTGCAGCAAATGCCAAATGAATTCATCAGTACTGGACACTTGAAATGAAATGCTACTCCCCCATAAAGACATTGTGAGGCTCATACCAGCGTGCTAAATGAAGATATACATTTACTCAAATCATATAAAAGTAGGCTAATTAGGAATAAAAGCTCTATTTCTTTATGTTTGTTTAGCTCAAGCTTTCCAGATACCAACCCAGAACTCACAGCAGCCAGGAAGGGAGTATTTTCTGTATCTGCTCAGAGTCCCTGGAGCTTAGCTGCCTGGGCTTGGGGCCAGCTGTGAGAACACAGCCATCCAGCATCAGGAAACCTCAGGAAGTGCCCATCTCCCCTCTTTTCGGGGGCCTGGCACTTGGCTTTTCTCTCTGTCAGAGCTTTGTTGAGGTGGGCCTGGCCCAGTCTTGGATGTCACCAATTCTGGCCACTGACCAAACCCATGGATTTCCTGG